TTATCCGTGACCAATGGAAGGATAGCGTCTGTGATTGGGATGAATGAGACACACTGTGAAATTTAGACACTTAAATTTCCTCCAACACTACAGACACAATCAAATAATGGTACACCAACATATGCGCACCTCTTAACATGAACTCAAAACACTACTCTGGGGAATAAAAGTTATTAGAAAACTCAGACAATGTCTCATTAGACAACAATAAATTCAAGTATTAAGAAGTGTTGCTTGCACACAAGAAACAGGCCTTATGGGCTTTCAACAAAATAATATCAATCACTGAGAAAATGAGATTAAAAAAAAAAGAAATTAATAACTCTACAATGAATAGGCCTTAAGGGCACTCAACAAAATTATATCATGCACTGAGAAAATGGTATAAAAAAATAGGAACTTATTAACGCCACCCTGAATAGGCCTTCAGGGCACTCAACAAAATTATATTAGTATATTACCCTAACAGATGCACACCTCCTAACCTAACTTAAACACTACTCAGGGGAACAAAGGTTATACCTGAGATCTAAATTATAAAGAAATATTAAATGCAATAAAGGTACTAAATCACAGTATCACTTACAACAGAATGGAGAAACCTCATCTGAAAAACAGTTCCCTCATTCTCTGGCATCAATTAGTGACACAACATTAAAAAACAATACTATCCAAATTATTTAAGAAATATTAAACTGCACACAGCCAGATAATATCAGTAACTGAAAAAATAGTAATAACTACAGGACCTATTACCTACACACATGAACAGGCCTTAAGGGCACTCAACAGGTTAATATCAGTCCCTGCGAGCTGGGAATAACCGATATTAGGAAAGTTATTTGTATGTATATTATGTACAAGTATGTTGTAGGTATACCATATATGTACTCTATATATACACATTATTTCTCTAGTCAGTAGCGTGTGGTAATGCCCCTGTTTCATGTCACCACACGCTTAGATAAATGTGCCTGGCGACATCTGGAAGCTGCTAATGTACCACTTACCACATGTCGCCTGAGAGGTCAGAGAGAGGTCAGTTGACCCATATTGGAGTGTAGGAACTACCTGCGCTTGTAAGCGCACCCTGTATATTTCCGTTGAATAGAACCTACAAAACTCTACAGGTGTTTATGTTCGCCCCTGTAGTTAGAACTAAGTACCCCGAACATCTCCATTAATCACTACATACACACTCTAAATACACCTTACATTAAGTCCCGTAACATGCTTCACCCAACTCAACATACTCCCATAATAAGGGAGATAAAATGTTCTCTAGGTATCCCCTAGACTCCTGGTCTCAGTGTGTGACCATTAATTTACTCAGATAGCCTCAGTGTACACTCAGTGCATCCATGAAACGGAAGGGAGTGAGCCAATCCGACCTTGTTCAGTTGAGAGAAGCTTTAGCTTCCCCGTAGTAAAAGGTTTTCACTAACTGCTTTATGTGATATTGCAAGCCGAGGTAGAAGAGATCTGGCGACCCCAGACGAACGTCAGTTGTGCACCCAGACAGCTGGTTTCACTTCGGAGATCTCTGGCTAACCGAGCTAACCAGTGACAAGCCTGCACTAATCGTTCCAACTGCGACAATCGCTAATCATCAATCATCAACGGCAGTCTCAAACGGCAGTCAATCTCTAGCAGTCAGCACTCGCAGTCAAGTGGGTTCTGACGGAAACCTTATTATACTGCAATAGCGCAACACAGGTGACTAGACCACGTGACCGTTTTGTGGACGGACGCGCAGGGACGTCCTGTCTGTCCGATCGCTTTCGCGTGACTGAGAGCCAGCCAGCTATGCGTCTCCCCAAGGCGTTAGCTTAGGTCTAGTGACATATTTTCCCGCATAACTAATAGCTTCGTTAGGACACACGTAACATTTTCAGACTGGGAAATGATCTATAATTGTTTTTAATTTACTAACTGATCTTTCATTTCATAATTCGCCTCCATATTAATTCGGTAAATTACATTTAATATCGTATAGGCCTAGTTCCAGAAATCTCTACCCTGCAGGAGCGCGGTCTTCCCTCAGACGACCTTGAACTCAGTATCGCCAATGACGCGGAGTTTGAAATTACACTGCAATTTCTGAATATATATATATATATATATATATATATATATATATATATATATATATATATATATATATATATATATATATATATATATATATATATATATATATATATATATATATATATATATATGCAAGTAAATCACTGTAGGTGCGCGTGATCTAGGTATATGCTGATAACCACAAGGAAAGAAGAAAACACGAAGTTCCCAAGCGCTTTCGTGTAATTCACATCTTCAGAGTGGTTAGCAAGTGAACTTCAGTCGTGACAGGATAATACAGGGCATCACTTGGTGGTGTGTTAATTGAAGACATTATTCATGAGTTTTTAAACAGCTTTCTAACAGTGAATTCTTATACAAATTTCTCCTTTTCGAACATGTATAATGGGCTTACATGGCCTGGGTGGTCCTGGCGACTCTGTCGCGTGGCAGAAGACTCTCCAGTTCAGTGATTCTCTCCACCAGGCGGGTGCTCTCCCGGTAGAGGCTGACAAGATGGACCGTGCAGCGGGCGTCCATTTCCATCAGCTCTGAGGAGCAAGTAGGAGGTTAGCAGGACAGAACAACGAGAAAAGTATACATTAATCGTGTGTGTGTCTAAAGTAATGTATAGAGTATTAAGTTACATTCCCGTTCATAGTGATGTATCTTGTATCTATATACATTTTACGTGGTATTTATTATCAGATAGGTTTTAGAATACCGTCCAATCAGTTTAACCTAAATTGTAGGCAAATTGCTGGAAGCAATACTTTCAAACTACTCGAAATTACCTCGAGAAGCACAGGTTGATCAGTGATTCCTAACATGGCTTCACAAGTGGGCGTTCATGTCTAATAATTCTATTAATATTCTTTTCAACCGTTTTCGAATCAGTGGATGACGGACACGATTATGATGTGGTATATTTCAACTTTAGCAAAGCCTTCGACAGAGTTCCCCACGAAAGACGAATAGGAAAAGATGAGGCTCATGAAATTGGAGGAGATATTCTAAAATGGATTAGAGAATGGTTACAGGACAGGAAACAGCGAGTAAGCATTAACGGCACGAACAAAACAACATAGATATCGGCGTAGACAGCAACATAAGTAAATTTGCTGACGACACTAAAATAGGGCGTGTAATTAAATCTGACGACGAGTCGGCAAAATTACAGGAAGATCCAAACAAATATTTCGCATGGTCTGAAAAATGGCATATGAAATTTAGTATGGACAAATGTAAAGTAATTAGTCTAGGAGACGTAAACAGAGAAAGCAGATATAGATGAACAACGTTGTAAAAGAGAAATCCGATTATGAGAAAGATTTAGGAGTAATGAAGTCAATGTGTATTTGACTGAAACAAGGTTAATACAGGACTTGGGTTCATACAAAAGCGTGTTAGTTACAAGACTTGCGAGGTTATCCTAAAACTATATATTGCGCTTGTGAGACCTCACTTGGATTATGTGGTTCAGTTCTGGCCACCGTAACTGCAGAATGGATATAGAATCCATAGAAGGAATTCAGGGGAGGATGACAAGACTATTCCCGGGCATTAGGAATCTTGAGGATAGAGACTGATTAAAGCATCTTAATCTGTACTCCCTCGAGAGACGTAGAGTGAGGGGCGATATGATCGAGGTGTATAAATGGTAGTCAGACTTTTAAAAAAAAGTGATTTAACAAAGGTACTCAAACTAACCAACCTGGAGCGAAATCGCAATAATGGTTTTAAATTAGACAAATTTCGATTTACACGCGAGATGGGTAAACACTGGTTCCGGAATAGAGTAGTGGATGAGTAGAACAAGTTACCAAACTTCATCATTAACACGAACTCGCAGGGTAGCTTCAAATATAGGTTGAACGGATATATGAGCGATAGGGCTTGGGTGTAAACAGGGCTGCCTAGAATGAGCCAATAAGCCCGCTGCAGTTTCCTCCATTCTCACGTTAACGGTATATATGCCCATCTCTGCCCTGTGGTACAGTACAGGGAAGAAGGTAATATCTGCTTGAGTGATACACTATAGCAGTGGTGCACATAAGTATAGCTATGTGTTGAATGGGATATACAGATTAATATTTATGTGTTTACTCCGTAAGTGTATCTTTGTATACAAGTGTGTCGATGAATATGTTAAGAGGAGCTGCAAAAGTGTACGAACTGTTGTGTGTCGGAGATATACCTAAGAAGTGTGTATAGTATACATATGTATAAATATGTTGCAGTGGTGTAAGGTGGAGTACACCACTACGCCTACCTGTGTTGTGGTGATGTAATGTGGAGTACACCACTACACCTGCCTGTGTTGTGATGGTGTAAGGTAGAGTACACCACTACACCTACCTGTGTTGTGGTGGTGTGAGGTAGAGTACACCACTACACCTAGTTGTGTTGTGGTGGTCTAAGGTAGAGTACACCACTACACCTACCTGTGTTGTGGTGGTGTAAGGTAGAGTACACCACTACACCTACCTGTGTTGTGGTGGTGTAAGAAGGGAGTATACCACTACACCTACCTGTGTTGTGATGGTGTAAGGTAGAGTACACCACTACACTACACCTACCTGTGTTGTGGTGGTGTAAGGTAGAGGACACCACTACACCTACCTGTGTTGTGGTGATGTAATGTGGAGGACACCACTACACCTACCTGAGTTGTGATGGTCTAAGGTAGAGTACACCACTACACCTACCTGTGTTGTGGTGGTGTAAGGTGGGATACACCACTACACCTACCTGCGTTGTGGTGGTGTAAGGTAGAGTACACCACTACACCTACCTGTGTTGTGGTGGTGTAAGGTGGAGCACACCACTACACCTACCTGTGTTGTGATGGTGTAAGGTAGAGTACACCACTACACCTACCTGTGTTGTGGTGGTGTAAGGTGGAGTAAACCACTACACCTACCTGTGTTGTGGTGGTGTAAGGTGGAGTACACCACTACACCTACCTGTGTTGTGGTGGTGTAAGGTGGATTATACCACTACACCAACCTGTGTTGTGGTGGTGTAAGGTGGAGAACACCACTACACCTACCTGTGTTGTGGTGGTGTAAGGTGGAGTACACCACTACACCTACCTGTGTTGTGGTGGTGAAAGGTGGAGGACACCACTACACCTGCCTGTGTTGTGGTGGTGTAAGGTGGAGGACACCACTACACCTACCTGTGTAAGGTGGAGAACACCACTACACCTACCTGTGTTGTGGTGGAGTAAGGTGCAGTACACCACTACACCAACCTGTGTGTATAGTGTAGAGTAGACACCACCACACCTACCTGTGTTGTGGTGTGCAGGTGAGTACACCACCACACCCAACCTGTGCTGTGTGGTGTAAGATGGAGACACCACCACACCTACCTGTGCTGGGTGGGTGTGAGCACACCACCACACCTACCTGTGTGGTGGTGTAAGGTGGAGCACACCACCACACCTACTCAGCAGGTGGTGTGGTGGAGTACACCCAACACACCTACCTGTGTTGTGGTGGTGTAGGAGCACACCACTACACCCCTGTGTTGTGGTGGAGGCACACCACTACACTCACCTGTGTTGGTGGTAAGATGGAGCACACCACTACACCCACCCATGTTGTGGTGTAGGGTGTGAGTACACCACTACACCCACCTGTGTTGTGGTGGTGTAAGGTGGAGTACACCACCACACCTACCTGTGTTGTTGTGGTGAGATGATGCACTCACCCACCTGTGTTGTGGTGGTGTGGTGAGCACACACACCCACCTGTGTTGTGTGTGGTGTAGAGGAGTACACCACTACACCTACCTGTGTTGTGGTGGTGTAAGAGAGGACACCACTACACCCACCTGTGTTGTGGTGTAGGGTGGAGCACACCACTCACACCCACCTGTGTTGTGGTGGTGTAAGGTGGAGCACCACCACCCACCTGTGTTGTGATCGTGGCAGTAGGAGTACACCACCACACCTACCTGTGCTGTAGTGGTAAGAGTGGAGTACACCACTCACACCCACCTGTGTTGTGGTGGTGTGATGAGAGTACACCACTACACCTACCTGTGTTGTGGTGGTGTAAGATGGAGCACACCACTCAACCTACCCAAAGCTGTGGGTGGTGTAAGATGGAGCACACCACTCACACCTACCTGTGTTGTGGTGGTGTAGGGTGGAGGACACCACACCTACCTGTGTTGTGTGGTGGTGGTGGAGTACACCACTACACCTACCTGTGTTGTGGTGGTGTAGGTGGAGTACACCACTACACCTACCTGTGTTGTGGTGGTGTAAGGTGGAGTACACCACTACACCTACCTGTGTTGTGGTGGTGTATAGAGCACACCACCACACCTACCCTGTGTTGTGGTGGTGTGGGTGGAGTACACACCACACCTACCTGTTGTGGTGGTGTAAGGTGGAGGACACCACCACACCTACCTGTGTTGTGGTGGTGTAAGGCAGAGTACACCACCACACCTACATGTGTGTGGTGGTGTTGGTGAGTACACCACCACACCTACCTGTGCTTGTGGTGGTGTAAGGTGGCACAACCACCACACCCACCTGTGTTGTGTGGTGTAGGTAGAGACACCACTACACCTACCTGTGCTGTGGTGGTGTAAGGTGGAGCACACCACCACACCTACCCAGCAGTGGTGTAGGGTGGAGCACACCACCACACCTGCCTGTGTTGTGGTGGTGAAGGTGAGCACCAACACACCCACCTGTGCTGTGGTGGTGTAAGGTGGAGTACACCACCACACCTACCTGTGTTGTGGTGGTGTAAGAGTGAGCACACCACTACACCCACCTGTGTTGTGGTGGTGTAGGGTGGAGCACACCACTACACCTACCTGTGTTGTGGTGGTGTGTTGGAGTACACCACCACACACACCTGTGTTGTGGTGGTATAGGGAGGAGTACACCACCACACCACCTGTGCTGTATAGGTAGAGCACACCACTACACCCACCTGTGTTGTGTTGTGTAGGGGAGGGAGCCACCACACGCCCACCTGTGTTGTGGGTGTATATGAGCACACCACCACCCACCTGTTCTGGTGGTGTATGCGAGCACCACTACACCTACCTGTGTTGTGGTGGATAGGAGTGAGCACACCACTACACCTACCTGTGTTGTGGTGGTGTAAGGTGGAGCACACCACTACACCTACCTGTGTTGTGGTGGTGTAAGATGGAGCACACCACTACACCTACCTGTGTTGTGATGGTGAAGATGAGCACACCACTACACCTACCTGTATGTGTGGTGTAGGTGGAGCACACCACTACACCTACCTGTGTTGTGATGGTGTAAGGTAGAGCACACCACTCACACCTACTCAGCAGGTGGTGTATGCAGAGCACACCACCTCACCTGTGTTGTGGTGGTGTAGGTGAGCCACCACCACACCACTCAGCTGGTGGTGGTGTGAGGTGGCA